TGGAAAGAAATGGCTGCACGAATAGCCCATTGTCGTGCTTTTTTTGCGCGAGATACCAGTCGCACGGCATATATATGTCTAGTTTCTGCCTCCAGATACATGAACTTGCTCTCTGGAGGCATCGAATTCATTCAATATAAACTCAACTTTGGAAAGATTCTCAGATATGTTTAAGTGAAATTCGTTTTGCAGAGCGATGACGTGCCCAAGAAGGTTAAGTCTGAGGTTCCGAAGAGGGTACGGTTTAAAACTGAAATGAAGGAGCCAAAGAAGGAGCTAATGTGCGTATTTATTGTCTAGCTAGCACTCCCTTTGAATGGCAAGGATATGTCTTTCAATTTCAGCGACGAGCTTTTGGATTTGCCTCCTGTGCGGCCCTGTGATCGCACAATTAAAACGGAGCCAGACGAGCCTACCCCTCCAGCCCACTCAAGCGCGCTTCCGCCTAAGAGAAAAGCCGGCTCAGTCGGAGGCCCTCATATCGATACAAAACGGAAACGCTCTCCTCCTAAATCACATGATGAAGACCTAAGGTCATTAGCTCATCATAATACGTAAGTCTTAAAAATGTTTTGGGGTTCATTTAGGGAATAACAATTCTAAAGGGATCCGCTACTTTTTATGATTGAAGTTGTAGAACAAGGTAAGTACTGATCAGAACACGTGAAGAAAAAANAAAAAATTCACATATTTCACGAGTGTAGTTTGAACGGACCCCATTGTTTATTTTATATCAGTTTACTCGTTTTCAGTAAGGATACCGTTGTGAAGCCGACTCCGATTCTGGGCTCGCATGCTTTCACCGTCCAGGCGAAGTCTTCAATAGGTCGGGCTCAGCAACAACTACCTCTGCCAGGACGATCGCCGCCACCATTATCCTCAAGTGGACATTCATCAAGCTGTCCACAACTTCAAGCATCTGCTTCAAGCCTCCCCATGCCACCGAACTTCCACGTGCCTTCATCGATACCGGGTACTGGTGGTCTTCCTATGCCTCCCAACTACCATCCTCCAGTTGTACCATCGACATCAACTTTACCTATGCCACCAAATTACGTCGCGTCGGCTCCATCAGTGCCTGGCCCAACAGGACTTCCAATGCCACCGAATTATGTTCCTGCTGGAAACTCATTACAACAACAAGCACCAGTTCGTGGACCAAATGGATTCCCAATGCCTCCAGGATATCGTCCTGCAGTGCCGGGTACGACGGTCCTCACCCCTCCAACTCAAGCACCTTCCGGCTCGAATGCGGTGAGTTTGAGCTCTTCTTTGATGTAAAGTTGTCTAACCAGTTGAATGACAGCCCTCTATTTTCAGATTATTACGGCAGAAGCTCCTGTCAAGCTAGATATTCCATCAAACAATCGCATTTTCGTTGACGGTAAAGCACACGAAGTGGAGTATGTGAATGACATAGCTGTCATAGAGCGAAATGGACTACCACATAAGTATGTCTTAGAAGCTGTAAAGTTTAACTCGCTGAGAAATCTTATCAAATGATATACTTCCAGGATTTTCTTCGCCGGAACTCCACGTAATGTGATAATAGATGGTGTTCCTCACTTGTTACATTTCGGTGAATCGAAAGCAGTAATCATTGACGGAAAAGAACATATTCTTCGATTCGGAGCACCAAGTCGGGAACTCTATCTGAATAACTTTTCATTTAGAGGGCAATTTGGAGGTAAGCAGTAATTTTTTAGCATGCGTTTTTGGCTACCTTTGCTCAAAGTCATGTCTTTAGCGTCTATAAACTCTTTTTTATCAATCGTATTTCCACTTCTTTCAGGTGCACCTATAGTGGCAACAATAGACGGCCGTCGACATGAGATTCGATTAGCTGGCCCTGCTCCTGATGTGAAGATCAACCCGGATCCAGCGTATGAGTTGACAGCGGAGTTGAATCGCATTCGAGCAAATAAGAGCGAAAACAAGCCAGGTTAGATAACCGCGGCAATAAATTTCGAGATATTCGGAAATATTGAAATGTTTAAATGATGAATTCCAGAGCCATCTTTGGATCCCTTCAATTTGTTGAAGAAACTTCAACAAAGCGGATTTTTGAAAAAACCGGAGCCTGCACCTGCTCCTGCTCCGAATCCGTCTACACGAGACAGGCTCAGGCATACTGCCACAATGTTACGCGACACCACGCCACCTATTCCCAGTGAACACAGGTAAGGCTCAAAGGGATGATTTGTTAAGATCATTCAGCTTCATCTCCTAAGGGTTTAAAAGGTGCGAAAGCGCATTGTACTCGAAGTCAAGTAAAAAAGTGTGTCGTTGTTCCCATCGATTTTTTCTTCGAAATTCGACAAGTCTTTTTAACGATCAGCATGTGTAGGGAAGGACTATAAAATGTTCCTTTCATAAGTATTACCCGTAGTTTCAGGCCAATTTGAGAGCTTTTCTATCGATTGTATCTTGTAATTTCATGTTTCAGTATAAGTGTAGTGGAACGACGGTCCGTTCCCTCAGCTCCACTGAAGGAGTTCAATATGCGAACGCTCAAAATGTAGGTTTTCACTTACTTGCTTTTACGGTGTTTTATTTGAATTTTTGTCTCATTTCAGACGTTATGAAAGTGTTGTCGATGCTCTTCACGAGAAACAGCAGAACGCATGCCCTCATTGTGGTCAACGTATGGAGCTGAAAGGAGAGCGTTATGAACGACACCTTGACTGGCACGTGAAAAGGAATCTGAAAACTTTTGAAAAGGCGAGCACCAGCCGGCCGTGGTACGCTAGCAGCAAGGTGGGTTTAAAGTGTTATTATGTACAAATATGCAATTCCCATTAGTCTCTTTGGGTTAACAGTCAAGTAGCATGGCTGTTGTCTATTGAGGATAATGTGATATGCGAGAGCAGGCGGCCTGCATCTCCTGTATATATTTCCTCTGTTGCGTTTTTCAACAGTTTTATGATACGGCTTTCAGGATTGGCTGAAGAGTGAGGAAGAGGAGGAAACGGGCATCAGTGTAACAAGTGGCAGTGCTGGTTTGTGTGATCAACGACATACTTTTTTTTTTCATGTTCTTTGGTTTTTTTTTTGTTTTTATCTATGTGACGGCTTGCGATTTCAGAAACAATAGAAGAATCCGTACCTATATTAACAGTATCTGCTCGGGAGGCTGTAAATAAGGTGCGTCCAGAGCTCATTGTTCAAATGCAACTTCTTATCTTAACCTCTGTCTTCCAGAATTGTGCTGTATGTTGTGAAGAATTTGAAGAATATTGTGATGAAGATGATGATGGGGTATGGAAACTGAAAGATTGTGTTATAGTAAATAATCAGGTGTGTTTTCGTTGCAATCAGTTTTACGCTTACAATTATGCCACTGTGTTAATGAATCGAATTGCTTATTTTTTAGGCGTATCATTCGGCGTGTGTTCAAGATGCGTCGGTGTTAGAAGGCGTAGCATCGCAAGAAGCAATGGATACATGTGATACAAAAAGTGTTGTACAGGATAACAAGCTGTTAAATCTGTTGAAAACTACGTAGCAGCTTCTTTGGATTTGAAAATAACAAAAAAGGGAAATGTTTGTATATACAGAGGTCGCAAGGAATAGTTGCGTCCGCATGGGTCATCACAACAGGCTGACAGGTTATGCCTGGTTCGGAAAATTCACTAAATTTTTATAAAAAAAGAAATAAATATTCATTGTATTCTTGTGTTCTTGTTTTTGCTGTCGTTTGTGTTTGTGTTCTTTTCCTTTCATTGCTTGACAATAAACTAATAATAAAACCTGTGTCCTGTTCACACAACATTTGGTACAATACCAATTTGCTATTACAGCGTTATAGTAAATCTCTGGAAAGATTGGATAGTGGGAGGGGCTGCAGGGTACATAACATAGGCTTATTTTTTAAATATTTTGGTGATTCATCATGTTCGCGAAGGATTGCTGTTCATGCCGAAAACTGTGCTGTACTGAATGCTGACCAGATGTCTCACTTTATTATTCACCTATTACAATAATCTTGACGGCTCGATTCTGGGACACTTTATAGATGGAGAGGAATGAGGGTAGGAGAGAAGGATGGAATGGAGGTCAAGTGATCGGTGAGCAGGCAGTGCGGCCGGTCCTAAAGTAGCTTTGGAACAGCGCAATGAGGGAAAACGGTAATAAATGTGAGAGGTGTGTTCGCCCATTGGAAAGAACTCATAAGAAAACAAGAAGACGAAGATCCCATGAACAAGTCATGCTTCCTTCATAACCTTGAGCCTCTGTCCCTACTCTCTGTTAGGTGACCTAAAATCAGTAATTAAATCATTGACCGTATGAGGTAAATTCGCCGGTACATCCAAACATTGCTCGATCGGCACGTTGTGGTCGACCCGACCTTCTGAAAAGTGTGGGGTTCCTGTACTCGATCCACCATCCCCATTCCGAGAAGCTCGTCTTTCTCGAAAGACTCTAAATAGCGAAACGTTTGCATGCAATCTTTTCTGCTTCAAGATATTCTGGGTGTGCCTTCTTCTACCCTAACGGCTTGCCGCGTTCGCGAGGTCCGATCAACCAGCTGCGAGGAGGAATATTCGAATTCACAATGGAAGGGGATGGTAATCACTTCGGAGCCATTGTCGCTTGTTGTGGGAATTCGGGTTGGACTACCGCCATATCCGAAATTCTATGAAGCAGAACAGATTGCATTAGTGTAAGATGAACCAAATCTCCCAGAATTTCAATAGTCTCCATTCTATCAAAGTTGTTTGATTCACCATAGTGAGCTGGCAAGTGTTACTCCCATGTTAAAGGATATAGAATTCTTCGTTAGGCTGTCTGGAATTAGATGCTTTGATCGTAATTTAGTGATGGGCAGAAATTCATCCGATTTCATCTCTCGATTATCCCTTATCTTCTTTTCAACCAGATTCTTTTGTTTGTAGAGAACATCACACTACCATGTCCACACTATCGCTCCTGGTAGAAGGAAGTGCTTGTGCTTGGGGACGACTGGCCGTCACTCATGGCAGTGAGACTATAAATGATGTCATTCGTGCTCTGGTATGTACCAATGTTTTGTTGTTTGTTTATATCGCTTGTTGATATACAATATTATGCAGGAAACGTCAACTCCTTGAACTTTTCTGATTTCTTTCAGATTTCCTTTGCAAATGCACACCTCTCAATGTCTGCTTTGAATCAGTTGCTCTTATTCGCGTTTGCAAACAAGATAAAGAAGAGAGTAAGTCGTACTATCTACATTGACGTCGTTATCTTTAAATCAGACCCATTTCTGCGTGTACAAGCGTCCGCGTTCAACCCCAAAACTGGGGTGAATAGGGAAAAATATGCAGTCGGTGGATGTTGTCAAGAAAAGAAGCTCATCGTCTAAAATGGGAGTGAGCTTATGTCAACAAACAAAGATTAATAACTTCTTGCAGGGTGGTTCTTCTTGCGTGAATTGGTGCAAAGGAGAGGACAGGATAGGGGAGAGAGAATGTGAGAGCGAGAGTGAGAGACAGAGAGAGTGAGAGAAAGGAGGCGCTTCCGGTAGTGAATAGTACTATCGATGGTAATCATCTAAGATGTCTTACTGTAGGGCAACCCCTTCTGGCTTTCATGCACTGTTAAGATTTGGCTTGGGCGATACGGAGGACACCGAACGTCTGGTGGTTCCCCGGAATCCATGTCTTTCCTCCGAAGATGTCCGAAACTAGCAATCAGTCACGGGATCTGTGTCAGTGAAATATTTCTTATTTCTTTCTCCGGTTTTTCAGAGGCTTCTCTTCCCTAATCGTGCCGGGATTCTTGAGGAACTCTCTCTGCCACAAGGAACTTGCCCTCTGTCAACTAAACGCTTAAATTTTATTGTCTGAGTCTGCTAAAGATATTCGACGCAAACTCCTTCCTCGGGGTCCTCTTCAACAGGCTCTTGATGTTGCTGCTCGCAATTCCTCCACATTGTATTTGACAATTAGACCAGAATAGAGCGCCACAGCAAAATGGGGGGGGGGAGATGAGGTTTGCAAAACGGTCAGTGAATAAAAGCACAAATACAACAAATAAAGGTCTTCTGACTTGCTTATAATGAAAACTCAGCATGAGATGTGTTTGAGCTGGGCACTTCGTCTGTGAGCATTGAATTACTTGACATTTTAGCCAGATCATCATCTTGAGGGTCTATACTTGGTTTGTGAGGGTTACGGTACAGTTGACCCAGGCAAGCACCCTAGATATCGATCAAACAAGCAATTAGCCGAAATTGCTCTCTTCTCTCAGGGAACAACTCATCTTCATGAATGATGAAATTTGACTTTGTAAAGTCGGGAAGTAATGAAATTTAAACTCCGTTCAGCTTTTGTTCACGCAGTAATGGGACCCAGTTACCTTCCACGGTCGTATCTGGTCACATTTTCACGGGGTCCGAGCCGCCCCTATATCGTTTTTGTGTACACGATAGGCTCTATCGTAAACTATTTTGGTTGCTGTACAATTCGCGACGTGGAGGTGCAGTTGACGCATCCGTAGCGATGTTGAACGCTTTACGTGACACTCTTCGAGACAGTGCCAACTCAGACGACGATCTTATAGGAAGCCCACTGGCAGCCGTTCTCTCACATGCCATTTGCCGTACGTTCACCGTTTGAATCAATGTTTCCGCTTTTGAAAAGCTATATCCTCAACTTTGGAACTANCTGCTATACAGAAATATTAGTCCTTAACTAGCTGCCGCTTGGTTCTTGAAGTTTATTATTTAGTTTAGATATAAAACGAGCAGATATCTTGGCTAGAAATGGAGATACAGCGTCCGTATCGTCGTCCAATGGAAGAGTAGTTATTGTAACGATGACGGTTGATTTTGGTACGGAACACGGTAAGTGTACTTCATCGACCTGCCGATCTGCTCTTGCTACTGTTTCGGTCTGATAGTCCAGCGTCACCTAGTACAAGGCTTCTTAATTTATTCATGGTTGAGAAATCCGCAGTGAAAACACAGGATTTCAGGTCCGTTGATGAATTTATTCTTTTCCGCTGCAAAGCATGGAATTTGCGTAGATGTTGTATCGCTAGTTGAACCAAGTCCACTTCTGCAACAAGCCGCTGACATAACGGGTGGAATTTTTCTTCAAGCGGAAAAGCCATCGAAACTTCTTTCCAGCATGATGGTTGGTAGCATTTATAGTTTTATGTAAGCAACTTTTTCAGTTTATTGCATCATTTACAACCTCTGTCTTGCCCATGGCGCTTTAGAGGAAGATGTGCGGACCCACTTATCTCAGGTCCGCTTGACTTCGCACCATTTAGAGGCGTGGGTTCAGCTAGGGAGTCGTCTCAGACAATGAGACGACGGAATAGTTATGGGGATCGTACATTGAGTCAAATGAAAGGAATCATATAAGGTATTCAAAAACCCTAACTCAACTCTAGTTGGAAGTAGTTTAGAGGCCGAATTTTCAGGTAGTCAGGGCCATGTCAGTAGCAAAGATTCTGAATTGTGTACATATCACTAAGTATTACGGATATGTAATCGTAGCGACGATTTCAGATGCATCTCCTCGGTGATCCTTCATCTCGATCGTTATTCCCTCAACCAATACTGAAGGTATGCCTTTACGAAGGTTTTCTTGGCTCTTTTATTGATTTACTGTACTTCTAATGGATCCCTGCTTTAACCTATACTTCCTGCAATACCTTTCCTTTTCAGGAGGTAGACTATCGTGCATCTTGTGTTTGTCACCATGAATTGGTCTCTTCCGGATGGGTCTGTTCTGTCTGTTTATCTGTGCTATGCCAATTCACGCCAATTTGCAAGGCATGCGGGTTAGTTGTCACTTGGATTTCACTCCCACACTCATTCCAAAACTACATCCGAATACTTTTTATTATAGTGCCATCTTCAAAGTGAACACTCTGCCAAGGAAAGCACCAAAACGAAAGAGGAAGGAATAGATTCTGTTACTTCGGATGCTGTTAAAATGTACAAAATGTTAAATAAATGTTATCACCTTCAAAAATCGTTGGTATGGTTACGCGGAGTTTACAAACATCATATTTCTAAATTTACTTCCGTTTCTTGTTATTGTTTATGTTGGCAACTTCTGCAAGTGCTTGACGTCGTTTGATAGTGAAATAGAGAAACAGTGCATTCACGGTATAGATCGTGACACATACAAGGCAGACTGCTCGCAGTCGGATGAGAACTGCAATAGCACAATTCAGAGATACCACGAAAAAAGTTAGATTGAGGCTATTTCGTTCAATTTTCCACTAGTTGTTGTGAAGAAATGCTATGTTTTTCTTTAAAATTTCCATCACTGATGATGGATATATCACTTAGCCAGGCTTCCGTTTCAACTGCTGTTATTGCGAAGGTTGTGAAGCTCTTCGAGAAGGGAGTTACAACACGCCATGTATCGCTCATTTCTTCTTTAGTAGTACCCCTGCTCTTATAGTCCACAGTATTATTACATTCCTGAATACGTAAAAGGGGTTCCTCTCTAGTAACAAGATGTCTATCACTTTGGTTACTTGGAAGGAAACGTTCCCTTCAATTTAGACCGTCGGACGTTAGGGTGCTGGGAATAAAGTGAGAAGGCTTCTACATCACATAACTGCCAATGGGGCTATTTACTAATTAGGACTTCAGGGCTTGGAATCGAGCGATTCAAGAGAAAGATAATCATCTAATGTAGCTTGCTTTATCCAATTGCAGTGTCTTACAAAACTCCCTCTGTTGTCAATATCCATTCTGCTTTTTCGGAAATTGAAACGTACCTGTAATTAGGTATAGAGACATGATGTTCATCATAATCCCCGCATAAAATGAGATACTCGCAGAGCACTGGGTATGCGAAAGCTGTATAAGCGACAATAGTGTATATCCAATCACCCCGTAGAAGGCGTTTCTCTGAAGAGATGGACTGAACAGCAATTTGTGAAGAACATCGAAAGCTCAAGATTTACCTGATTGAGAGCGCTTTCCTCCCCGAGCAATGGTCCTATAATGCCAAAGCCCATACCATACTTGGAAGTCAGTACTCTGGTGCAAGAAACCAGTGGTGAAACATCGCACATTGCTGTGTACTCGAAGTCGAATTCGTGGGCAATTTCAATGTATAACCCTCAATAGTTCATTGGTATACCATTTATGGGAAAAGTACAGCCATTTACTCAGAAACTCGGTTCGTACCATACATGGAGACAACCAGACCGACAAGAAGTGTACAAAGTGCTCGTCTTGTTGCAGATGTTGCCTTGTTCATCCATTGAGACGCTGACATTGCCATCTAGAAAAGTATATAAAGAAATTCTTGAGGTGAAGATCGTTAGGAGACCAAAAGGCGCGGTCAACACAAAAAAGTAACCTTATCAGCTAACGCGCTCGAAAAGCCCCCGACCCATCCGCGTCACCTGTCATTCACATTTGCAGTCGAAACTGCGGCTGCAAAGTGACACGGTAGTGAAGGACAACCCAGAAATATTGATGAAAAGCCTGCGATAATGGCACACTTAACTAAGTACGCTTGTTATTATGTGAGTTGGTGAGGGAGGCGGGCGGGCTGTGGACGAGAACTCTGTGAGCGTCTGAGCACTCCCTCTCACCGAGTTGGTGTTCCGTGGAATCTTTCCGAGCTCCCGTTCAGCTTCACATTTCTTAAGATATTCCGATGATGTCATAGGTAGGAACAGTTCGGTTTGGGCTGGGTTTGGAAAACAGTCAGAAATAAGCTACTGGGAGGCTGTGAATGGATAGTGATCTAACCAAAACTTGTAAAAGGAATTAAAGTGCGATAAGAATGCGCCGATATGTTGAAAATCATGTTGAATGGGTTGTTTGCTTTTCCTACAAATTCTTTCAGATATCCTCAGATGGGGACGTCGGACAATGTGGGTCAAACTCCGGAGGTGAATTTGGTATGGCAACACAACCGGCGCCTTCTATTCGACAACCTGGATGCTCTCGAAGGCGAAAAAACAATCGTATGGGATAGGAGTCTTATGCAAAGAGTCAACCTGGTGAGTGAGAAACTATCATTGTGAAGAAACTATTCACCAACAGCTCTGGTTAGCTCGCCCAAGGGTCTGAAATTTGAAAATTTTTTAACGATTATATTTTCGGATATTTCTATCTTAGCATGTCATTAAACTGTATTTGACGCTTGGTGTTCTATCATACGTTTTCTACGTTGAAGTTTTGAAACGCAGTTTTGAAACGCCCGTCGCTGGTATAGAAAACGTCAAAAAAGCCAGTGCTCCTTAAGCTGAGACAAAGAATCTAATAGCTAGAAAAGCTGAAAAAAAGATGCCTAGCTCAATATCCTTTCAGTTCGCTGGTCCCTCAGTCCTGAAGACTCACGGCGTAGTCAGCAATCTAGCGCTTGACCAATTTCGTGCACCAGAAACCCCATACGTTCTGTTCTTCCTCACTCCTACACTGGCAGCACTGGATGGACTCTGTGAATACATCGACAAGTCGAAGGCTGATACGGTATTGATCGTGCACGATGGATTTCTATTGAAAACTCCATTACCTATATTACTTTTAGAAAACGCTCTTTGTGGTGTTTTTCATTCCTGAAGCATGGTATGTAGTCCGTGAAAAACTCAAGGAGTTGAATGGTGGAAAGGTTTCGTTGATTATTGCCCAAATCTTTTGGAAAACGGTCAAGTTTTCATTTTGCAGTACTGGGAACGATTGGAATCTGTACGCGAGTTACCACTAACTTGGCTACCCCGAGATGGGCATGCTTTATCCTTAGCAGATCACCATCTTCTATCCAGGTCTGCTTACTCTATGGTTTACATCTGCTTATATAAGCATCCTAAATACCCAATTCCTCTTCGGATGATAGGTTATAGATTGCTGATCAACGGCGACTGGACTCATTTGCATCGTTGTGCGGTGGCGATACATCAACTGTTGGCGATTTGCCCACAGTCGATCCCTATCTATAGTCGTGGAAAATGGGCCCAGGATGTGGCTCGAATGGTGTATAAAATGGGGCCTTGTGAAAATGTGAGACTTTCTTCTTTTGAATACTGTAAAGGCTAGAAGTGGTCAAGATGACTTGCGTATGCACAGAAAAAAGGAGTTTTTATAGGAACAGCAATCTCCCCCATTGCGTATAAACCGTTTGGTTATCCTTGACCGTTGGATTGACCCTCTTACGCCATTACTACATCAACTAACCTATGCTGGTATGCTTGATGAAATGTATGGCATCAATATGGTTGGATCGATCAAGGTGAGATCAAAACGATGCAATCATTCCTGAGCGTTTTCGAGAAATGTTTCTCCAATAACCTCCACAGTTTCCTCATTGAAGCCCATCTGTCTCTCACATGCTTCGCAAATCATCTGAATAATCCATTTATCATGAAACTAGGAAGTTTTGAGTCAAGGGCCATTACCCGAATCAGAAAGATTTCATTCTATCTGCCACTTATTCGAATTATGGCGAATTAGAAATGTTTCATAATGTACCCATTCATTCTTTTCTGATCTTTAGAGCATAGGAGCTTCTGCAGTGCACAGTGTGACTGCATCGTGTACCTTCAGCTGAATAAACAGTCATAGTCGTACAAGATTGCCCACAGTATTAATACTAATTTAAATTAAACGGTCATGCTGGTAGGCTTTGTTGATTGCTGGTTCTGATAAAATGATTTCATAATCCCCTGAGAGTTTATTCATTTCTAGTAGAGGGCTGTCTATTGAGAAACAGTGGTGCTTCTCAAAATTCGATATTTATTTATGTTTGGCTGCGTTTGCACTTATGACGGTTTTGAACTGGAATCGAATAATTGTGTATGCTCAAGTAATTTAGGTTTCCCTTGCTGAATTCGAAAACAACGATAATGCTGATCCGTTTGCTCTCAAAGAAATACACCTAAATGATGAGGTTTTTTATCGACTCAAGAATGTGCATATAAATGCGATTGGTTTGGAACTCGCAAAAATACTGGCTGATATAAAGGAGGATGAAGAGGTAAATATTGAATTACCCCTTCAGGAAATGATAAAATGAGATACAAAAATCCAATTCCTCGTATATTTTCCACTTTCAGTTTGATCGCGACCGTATGTCTGTAGCTGAGTATCAGGTGCTTGTGAAAAAGATGCCTCAAATACTTCTACGGAAGAAGCTCTGCAGTGTACATATGCGTTTAGCGGAAATGGCACGTGAAAAGCTTTATGAATCATATGCTGACTATATACGGGTGGAGAAAGGTGATTTTGAGAATTTCTATAGATACCATCATCACGAAAACTATTTTGACGATGGTTTCTCTGACAACGCCACATTTCCGGCTGGTTTTTTTTTTTTGAGAAAAAAGCCAAGATGTTTTGATCGCTCCTATGTACTTCTTTGAGCAGTACTGTTAAAAAGAGCAAGAATTCGTCCCTGCTTCTGAAAGCAGGACGAAATTGATCAATATTCAGTTTATCTTTTTGGAGTTTATATTTGGGAGTCCCTTTCGGCGACTTTGAGGGAGGGAGCGGACTCAAAGCGTTACTTCCATTTGGTTATGAAAAGAAGTCACCCGTTTTCGATGTATTGCCCATATTATTTATAGCAACAACTGGAAGAAGGCCGTTTTTTCCGCTTTACCGGTTGAGGGACATTGTAAATAGGTGAATTCCATTGTAAAAACATTTTTAAGTCTATAAGGACCAGTTCTAGCGAGAAAGTGTTGCTGGCAGAGCGGTTCTTGATTTGTGTTAAGAAAAAACTAGAAGGGGTCCGAGAGTTATGTGTACTGGAATCGTTCAAATCCAGAGAAAAGATAGGTGAGGGACCAATTTTGAAGCATAAAATGATGTCGAAAAGCAGGAATTTCTGTTCATAGGACGTTTCATTCCCAAATTGCAATTCTCAACTCTCTTGAAAACTTTAAAGCATATGTAAGTTCAAGAAAATGGAAACTAAAATAAATGACATTTTTCTGTATTGATTTTACTTCATCGGTAATGGAGATATAGCAAATCGCAATGTGCCTTATAATGCTTTCATTTTGCAGAGCTTCTCGAATCAGCTACAGCTGATAAAATACACCCGTTCATTGAGGAAGCCATTATAAGCGGGGACGATGTGAACACTGCCATTCGATTCGTCGCCACTCATGCCCTTGCAGCTAACGGGCTCAAGCCGGCTGTGCTTCAACAATACCGGCGAATGATTATGCAGGTACGAACTGTCACTTCACCCTAACGCCGAAAGGTTTACTCAGTGCACTTGGACGCCACAAAACATTTAATCAGTGTACTTGGACGCCACAAAACAAAGTTAGGTAAAAGAGGATAGAATTTTTGAGAATTCTTGGTTTCTGAAATTTTCATTGGGTTCTTCTAGCTTCTGTAAGCTTGGCATTCTGATCAAGATTTTCATATTTCTGCGCGCTGAGAAGCTGTTTTCAAAGCAGTTTATCATTCAACGTCATAGTGTTTTGCTAAATCAATCGTCTTGTTTGAATGTCCCACTTCCGCCGCGAAAAACCCGCTGCCATCGCGGAATAGGATCAGTGGCAGTTGCAGATTCGTTACTGATCACAGTCAGGATTTGAAAATATTTTGTTTCTCGGAACTGTTCCTAACTGTTTCTCTAATGATCTCGAAAAAAACGGCGATCGAGTCAAAACGTTACGTCGTTGAATTGAAAATTTGTTTCCAGGGAAAAGCACCGCCTAGGCCCGAAATTTATATAGACTTCTCTGGATTCACTTGTTCCTTTCATTATCTGAAGAAAAGTTTAATAAAAGTTTACCCACCGCAAATGCCTGAAAGCCAACTATTTAGGTAACTGTGGACTACATTGAAAAAATATGAGCTGCCTAACAAAATTTGTTATTTCAGTCTTTTGGCGTTGAAGCACTCAACAAGCTGTTGAAGCTGCAAAAGATGGGTGCAATCCGAGAACGAGGTGGCAGTGGAAAGCTGTCCACTGACTATGCACCCTTGATGTTTCCATCCATGAAGAAACAGTATGAATTGTTACCTGACAACGTATCGGAAACGGTGGGTGATATCGCTCTGCCTTGGTCGTGTTACGTAATAACTATGTGACCACGTGAACGCTAAGTAGGATTGATATTATAGAATACACAAGACGCGGCATATGCGTATAGCGGCTATGCTCCATTGATCGTTCGTATACTTGAGGAAGGGGATCGTGTAAGATGGGCTGGATGGAATAAGACGTTCGACGGCGCGATTGGAGGTGAGTTCAGTCTCTGTAGACTCATATCAGTTCAAATCTCTATCCCAGTTGTAATCCCACAGCTTCATGTTACTGCCTCCGGGGCTTTTTTACGAGTGGTTCCTACTAGTTTTTTTTTCGATGCCATTTCCTTCAAAGATTCATTCATGAAGCGAACCCACGGGTTTTCAAAACTTAAAAAGGAGAATGCATGCAGTACGGATCTAAATTCTTACAGTAGTCCCACCTTTGTTTCATGCTACTACCACACATTGGCGCTAATAAGTTTAAATTTACGTCACTTTAGGAGTAGTAGTAGCATGGAGTAATAGTGGGATTACGATAAGAATCCGAATCCATATTGGATGTTCACTTTCGCTGTTGTTTCCCTCTATGTTTTCTAGCGGTGCTGCTAATCTTCGAAAACGCGGCGTCTAAAGCGCACATAGTGACGCATTAAAATCATCGATTGCCATTATGAAGAACGGGGCAGCCGAGGGAGACCGAGGAACGAACGAATGCACTGTTTCTAGGTGACGATCGAACGGCAGTGTTTATTGTGGGCGGGGTAACGCGAGCAGAACTTGCTGGAATTCGCCTCATGCCTAATGTATGTCTCATATTGACGTCATCGATTATTACTGGCAACAGACTTATCGACGGTATCACACAGATATGATTATCATGTTGTATGTGAAACTATTACAGAACTGTAATTCATAATTTTATCAAACATAAATTCGTACAATACTTTGTGTTTAGCCAATCGCTAGACACGTAGTGTTGTCATGTAAAAAACAAAGATAGCGCGATATATCACCACAGAAATTCTTGTATCAAATTACACTTGCAAAAATGTGCGCTACTCCATTATACAAAATAATTAATTACACAAAAAAACTCGTAAAGGGAAGTTCCCAAGCGATAGAATATTAACAAGTTGAAAGAGATTAGGGCGGAATATTGGATCAACAAAGCATGCGGATGATGTGGAAACGGGAGCAATTTCATTTCTAACACCGGATCATCATACATCATACATGTAGTAAGAAATAAAAAACATAGCAAACATCGTATGAAGAGAGCGATTTCGCTCTAAACCTGTCATAAATAGATTAATTCAATGCATTTGTAAACTGGGTACTTTGGGATCCTATGATTATTCAAGAAACAGGTGAATAAGTTTCAAACAAACCCAGAATACGCATGAACGAATCAAACAATAAATATGTACTCTAATAAGCTACGATTCAAAAAGCGATGACCTCTATGTGAGCGACTTCGAGCGCTCGGTGACCGAAGCTCGTTGGAAGAGCCAGAGAGCTGGACATGCCCTGAGATTGAATGAAGTCACCGTTCATTCACTCATCCCCTTCTCCTTTTGAAAGACTTCGTGAAATACTTGGTGACGAAGGCGGTCCACTCTTCTGAAACTGGAATCATTTGCGAATGAGTATTGAATAACTTTATTTTTAGACCACTACTGTATACTTCTTGAAAGTTTTTGACGGGAATTTAATACAGCAATTTTTTGCATTTTTTTTAAACAATTTTTATACAGAAGTAATCAGTGCAGTAATTCATGGAGGCAAGATGCAGTATAGCCAGTATAGCCTCTAACTAACTGTAGCCTCTAACTAACTCAGCCTTTCTACTATGACCGTTACAGAAATAGAATATAAGAAGGAATGCGCAAAGTATAAGAATTACATTAACTGATAGATGATACTTCATAAGCTTCTACTTCTACTTCCCTCATGGTGAAAGAGTCGAGAAGTGGGGAAGCCTGTGAAATTTTTAACAACAAAAAATCTGGAGAAAAGCTCATATCTAACCTGTCCTCGTGGTCGGAACAACTCGTGCTTCATAAGCTCGAACACATCAGCTCGATCTTCCTTTTTGTATTGTAGACAGCGCCGTATGAAATCCTGAGCTACATGACTTACCTGAAATTGCAAATTATACAAAACGGAAAAAATGCGCAGTGCAGCGTGTTGCTTAGTGAGAAATAACTCCCATCAACTTCATTTTGACCACGAATAATTTGCTACTGAAGTGCTACTGTTAACCGTAAAGCGTGCAAAGTTGCCTCCGTAATACTTCGTAGTTTTGGGAATGACAAAGATACTAAAATCATGTTTCAAAATCTTAGAATCAAGACAACAGACAAAGTTTTCGTATTAGAATAAACTACACATCTCCTTTACTGATCACTCTTCCCGGAGACTTTGGGCGCGACCATATACTGGACATTAATGCAGAAAAACCGTTACACTTTGCAGGGAAACGAAGGCTTACACTTTCATTGGTTTCCCGAGAGTAAAATTCTCGAAGTATCTGTTGTTTTGCTTTGGAAGCCAGGAATACTTCCCCGATGTTTGAGGTGTGCAATGTAAAGTGAATTCAGGAATGTTATCGGCGCCCAAAAAGGACACCTTGTATAAAACCATTCCGTTTTGCAACATCATTTACACTGATATAAAGAGACCTTGCAGTGAAGCAATTATGGATCAAACTTCACTCTCACATTTCTTCAAAATTTCATTGACTTCCATTCCTTTGCAGGAGGATCACACACTTCAGTTGACAATGTAAAATGTTCAAGAATTCTACCCAATTTCAACCTGTTTTGGCTGCAGACGACTCCTTGCCCGCTACTCAAAAACCGATTACATCGATTGCTGGCAAGTGGCCCTGCGATTTTCAACTTCTTCGACAGCAGAACTCTGCTAAGCGACTCATGCTCGACTCTTGCGAACATCAACGAAAAATTCAAGCGACATCGAACAACTTTTAGACTGCATTCACTAAGTGATGTGACCCTTCGAAAGGTTAAGGATAGCATCCATGATGGTTCGAACCAAGTGATGGTCCCATATTCTAACTTTCGCGACAATACACAAAGCTGTAAGATTAGATGTTACGGTTCCCTTTGCAGAATCATGATTCCAATCGATATCGGGAACTCATTCTCAGTCCTTGGCCCAGTGTAAAACAGATAGTATCGCCGGATATCGATCATTCCCCGTCAGGAGAACGTCCAGCCAGACGTCTAATAAGGCGCCAGATCTCGGAGGGCTAATCCATGCTCACATGTTTTTAGGTTGCAGCGGGCAGCAAGGCTGAGATTTCTATAAGCCATCTCAGGTTGCACACTCTTACTTCCAAATGCTCCCATTCCTCTCATTTACCTTGAGAAATCATTTCTCAAAGAAATTAATTTCCCCTTCTCTCGTTAGCCACCCTTGAAGGGAAACTAAAATATCGTAGTGAAGAAGTGAAATTGATCCCCTGTATAATAGGATTAATCGCCTTCATTCAACATTAGAAGTTGGAAGCTTCTCAAAAGAGCTTAGTAAAGCGAAAGCTTTACCACCTGCAATGAATTAGCCAGAAAGACGAAAAGTAAAGAGGCAATGACACAAGTTAGAAGTCACCAAGTATCAATTTAAAGTCATTTGAAGAGAGAAGAGTGAAAGCCTACAAACAGGGGCTCCACTATTTTACAAAACAATCAAAATGGCTTCGGCAACACAATGATTAGCTCCGATACTAGGTGTGCTGACTTGATTTTGAACGCGCCGTGAGCAGTTGGAAAGAAGGAAGTCAGTTCAGAACAATTCTTCATGTAATAACAACCTTAGACAGTTTTCCCCATCATGTTTGTTTTACATTCCGCAACAGTCCCGTGTACACATTCATGATTGAACAGCAGAGAGAAGCAAAAATACTCACTTGCGGTTTCGCAGGAAAATGAACCTCGTTTGCTTTTAATATTGTGTTTTCTTCCAGTATTTTCTGCTGGGTTTGATCATTTCCAAAAGGCTAAACATCATCCGATGATATGATAAAAAAAAAACAACAACATAGATACAAGAAATTGCTCAACAGAATGAACCCACTTTCTTTCCATAGATACACTGGTAGAAAATCACACCAACACTCCAAACATCGACTTTGGAACTGATTTTAGGTGGTGCATGACTAACCACGAATGTTTCTGGAGGTAAATACCTGAAACAGAAAATCTCAGACTACGAGAAGAAGGATAACGTGTAAAATTAAGCCTTACCAATACGTGCCAGCGAACTGAGATGTTAACTCGATGCTGTCGTCATCAGAGGCACCCTCCATGATCTTCGAAAGCCCGAAATCTGTTATTTTAATAGCACCGCATGTAGTCCCGGATTCCAACAAAATATTGGCGGGCTTCAGATCATAGTGGATGATGGGGGGCTTCTTCTCGTTAAGATATACCAACGCGGAAACAACCTAAAAAACCATTGTAGAAGAACAACGATTTGAAGAATACAATCATCCACAACTACTGAACGTCCGGTTTCAAAACGAAAACAGTAATAGTAATTAGTACTATCATCAGATGACATGAAACTAGAGGGAACAGAAAATTGGCATGGCGAAATGAACTCATGAACTAAAATAAAACATAACGTTATATCATGACTATCATTTGATAGCATACCTGCATAATGATACTTCGAGCTTCTTTCTCCGAAATGCACTTGTTCTGTTTAAGATAGAAGTCGAGATCGTTCCCCGTACAGTATTCAAGAACGGTACAAAACGAGTGATTGTCAATAGTGAATAGATCGAACAACTTTACAATCCGACAATGATCGAGCGTCTTGTGAATATCTTTCTCCCTCATAGCATGCTTTACATAATTAGCCTGAATTTAAAAAATCGAACGAGAACCGCAAATCATAACAAAACATCACATTCCACAACGCTAGCAAAATTAAATAACTGAACAACCCATGCCACCCTGAAAAATACTGCAACCCCTTAAAAACAAAGACACCCACCTTCTTCTCCTCCTTCCATTCCTTATTTACGTGATGGATTTTGCAAGCTACGAAACGGTTTTCCTCAAGATCGAAAGCTCGCCAAACCTCACTAAAAATGTGCATATGAAAACTTCTAGTTAAAGGACCACTGAGAAATTCGTCGTAAGAAGTGAAAAACTCTGAACAAGTTTGTTTTTGCACAACTTAAGACTAAGAGATCCTTTGTTGCTGTACGTCATATAAATTAAATAAATTTGAAAAATTCATTTGATATATATGACGTACAGCAGCAAGGAATCTCTAAGTCTTAAATCTCTTGGTCCTGATAAATTTGTAATGTGAGATATCAAAGGTTTCGACAGAAGCTCTCGGCTGGCATTTTTGGATCGTTCTATTCCACAAGTTGAAGAAAATAGTAGCACATGCTTAAGCGCCACCTTCACCATGAAAGAAGTAACAATGAGTGCCCGGAATGATAACGAAAAAATTAACAAAAGCGGCTCACTATTAGGAAATTTTACGTGTCAACAAAAAGCAAATATGTAGTGATCCATCCAAACCTATTGACATTTGGTTCTCTACAAAGGGATAATTATGAACCGCTAGAAGTTCCATTGACAACTGCAGGTTCCGTTTATGTAATGATTTTTTACTTCCTATATATACACTTCTATCAATTCCAAAGTGCATAGTTGAATTCCAAGTATACATATATACAAGCACGTGTACTAACATAAGAGCATTTACCGTCTCAAAACTCAAATCTCTGGGCCTGCCCAAAATGAAAAAAGTGGGTGCCTGAACCACAAAACGCGTTAAGATCAACCAAATCGGTTTTTGCCAGTGTCTTTATTCCTAGTTTAATATGGTAAAGTTTGATACGACAGCTCGGCCTAGCTTTGATGTGATGACAAGGCCTTTATCCAATTACACAATGAATTCCTCAAAATTTGACATCGAAACCCTCCCACTTTCGGATCAGATACTATACAATAGGTGAGAACTCAACCCCAATCTTTACATAGCGCTCGAGCTTTAACATTGCCTATCTTGCTTTGCAAAGATTCAGACTGAGCTGAATTGTTCAGCGAGACATCCGATATCTGAAAGTCGGCTTGAAAACATTCTCCATTTTCGGTTTCACTGAATGCTGCACTTCCCCCAAGTCAGTTTCAATGACAGAAAATTGCTGCGCATTGTATGTAACTATACACGTGATCGGTAGCGCTCTGCGGCGTCATGCGCCTCCCCACCCTCGCCCAGACGGCCGCCCCTTCCACCAGTCTCACGAAGAGCACTTCTCCGCAATCAATATCCTACAAACACATCAGCAAGATTGCACCTACGAAGCAGCAACGGCAGTGCCCCCGCAATAACGAAGAACAAACGAAAACAATCCAGTAATGAAACCGTCTGCAAAAACCAGATTGCAGTTATCCTCTGTTCGAACTACCAACGAATACATTCACCGAGTCAGTTAGAACTACCGATAACGGACATCTATCGCTAATGGGACGAGGTCAAGAAAAAACCGGATGAAAAAATGAAAGATCGTTCAGTGATAGGTACTGAAAAAGCGAATAACAACACTCGTAAACAAATAAGGAAAACTAAATGAGAACATTCCACTAACCTGAATCCGCCTTTACCAAGCAATGAAAGCAACAAGTAGCGCTTGTTGAGCATCTCGTGATCCTTATAACGTGAATCTCTTTCATTGCTTGCTCTTTTTAGTTCACGCAAATGAAGTTGTCTCTCTCGATCCAGTTTTTCTTTTTCAGCTAGCACTTCCAACTCTTCTTTTTTCATATGCTCACGACGGAGCTTATAAATTTCGTCCTGGAATTAATAAAAAACGTTATCTGAAGTGAACTAAAATTATTAACGACGGCTTACTAATTCAATGTACTCCTGATAATTGATTTCCTTTGGTTCTTCGGGTCTACGAAATACAGCATCATCACCCGATGACGTCGATGGTATTGATCCGTCTGTTTGGATCGCTGCTAGCTGCGCCGTTAATGAATTTGCAGCCGATCTTGAAAATGAATGAGCGTATTGAAACCAACTACGAAGTATTCAGAGAGCCAATGAATATGTATTCATCAAAATCATACCTTTTGGGTGTCGTTCCTTCTTTGGCAATTCCAACTGGCTTTCGCTTCTTCAACAACGCTGAAGCATTTGCTATTTCATTCCTCTCATTTGCTATCTGCTGCATCTTCTTATCGAGCTCCTCTTGCGCCCAACCATCAACCTTTAAATCAATGGTTAAAAAGGGGAAACGACATATGGAAATACACTACAAGACGAAAATTACAAATGTTACCCAAACTTCTCGGAAAGAATCTCCATGACGAACGAGTTTGTACTGACCTATCCGAGGTGTGTTTTCCGTTGTCTAGAAGTGTAAGATCAAAATAGTTCATACACCTCTTTCAGGCTCCATACTAGAACGCCTCAAACAACTTTAGAGGGAAGATCGAACCTTATCACGAATCGCCTTCCTTTCCATTGTATTCTTTTCTATGAGTAATCGCTTGAGAGCCTCTTTAGCAGATTCATTCTTTCGCCGCTCATTCGCGGTCTGAAAAGCGGTAGTGGGCATCCTATGGATTAAAGGATTGTAAACGATATGGGAAAATCTGAAGCAAGGAGTTACGAATACCCTATTTTGTTCTTCTATGAGCTGACTACGAAGTTCTTGTATTAGGCGATCTCGCTTCGCGATTTCTTCAGGAGGAGCAGGATTCAATTCCTTAAAAACCAACACTCACTACACGAAGTGCTGAAGGCAGGATGTGAAAAGTACCTCGAAATCTGTTTGAGTCTCACAGTCACTTCTTAATCGTACGGTTGCAGCAGGCGTAGGGGGACTTTGATTCGAATTACTGTTCGAGTCCGAAGAATAATGAGGATTGGTTGGAGTGATTCGGCTCGAAAAAGTGGGCGAAGTTGACATCCAACGCTGCTGAAAACAATTTCTTTACCACGCTGCCGCTTAAGAGAAGAGTAGAACGGGAGACAGTAGATAAAACTAACCGCTGCTGTGCTTCCACTTAGCGACGCGATGTCATTGGCGTAATTGTCACCATTTGAAGTTATAGCAAATCGCTTCGGACTCGTCTGACCCTTCAAAGATGGAGTTCAAAGAGCATGCAATAATAAATATCACTTAAACGTACTCTTATAAAATCCGTGATTTTTCTCTCAGACTTAGGTGTTTCGTCACCTCTTCGGCGCTTACGTATGGACTTCTTCTCAGCACCGGGACGGTTACATCTGAATATGAGAATAGAGAAATTGAGAGAAAGGGTCACTCTAGAGCTCACATCTGCGATGCTTTTGAAGACTCCGAAGAGAGTTCTGTTGACATTTCTGAGAGAATAATGAATTAATCACGCGAGGTACTACAAGGCATTAACTTCTATCAACAATTGATAATTGAAGGTAGGTATCAAAAAAGGTATGCTTTGTGATGAGTTACAAAACAGCTGTTTTGTGGGGAAATACTCTGCGAGAGCATATAGCAGGTTCACTCTAAAGTGCTCCTACCGGACCGTGCATCCATATCATCAGGCAATTGCTAAATTACACGTGAGCGACCGCGCGGGGAAACATACTCAATGGCCGCAGGAATACATACTCAATCGCTTGTAAAAATACGGGTAGAAAAAGCAGGAAAAGAATCCCTCAAACCCCCTTCGTAAATTCTCAGGCTATCTTTGGGCACCATTCGTTACGAAAGAAAGAAGGAAAAATCGTACTTCCGTTACAATGAAGACAGAGAAGCAAAAAGAGGAATCGTGCACGACGAGCAAAGAAAATTAATGTCTGGTTCCACATCTGATACCACTGCAGCAGTCCGTCCAGGTAGAATTAAAATCAATGCTTTTGAAGTCATTTTCAACCTTCGCTGTGCTTTTCCTGTTGTCTTCACTCTATTGTTGATTCTTTTCCTTCAAACTCCTTCAATTTAGTTCCTTATGATTTGAGCTATGAAATTCCGAAAATCGGGTAGTAGAAGACATTTAGGGAATAAAAACGCAATAGTTCCAAATTACTGGTAGGTAGATAACAGTTTACAAACTTCAGGCCTTCAAACTAATGAACGAAACAAACCTTCCTGGCGTCCCGTCAGGTTCGCGATCCGATATCGATCCAGCACTACTAAGATTGCTGCATTCGTTCACCAGTGGTGCAGTAAATACACGCATTTGACCATCGACGCTATCTTCATTGAATGGTTGCAAAGCGACATCAGAAGGACATACTAGGGGTAGCGAAGCCGATCCATCACCAGTAGGATGAGTGGGCAGATTCTGGGACTGAAAACATAGAATGATAACATTAAAAAACTGAAGTAAAGAAAAAATTCATCAGCAGACAAGACAGGATTTACACTATCATGATCAAAAATGCTGTAAAAACCTAGTCTGCTATTATCAACAGAAGGGCTGAAGAGTCACGCAAGACTTAGAATCTATTTGAGGAATATTTTTCCATATCCAGTTGCGCACGGCGGCACAGAATATGAAAGGACCCGAGGTGAGATCCGATGTTAAGGTTAAAAGCAATAAATGGTTCACCCCGATGCTAGTTCCCTCTGATTCACGGATTTGCTATTCGTCGCTGTTCGAATCTGAGTTTTAATGTCGCGCTAGTCTCCTCACATGGAACCACGCCCATCGAATTTCCCCTCACCAACAAGCATAGTATCTGAGCCGCTCCAAAAGAAGACGTTGGTTAAGGGTGAGAAACGGATGACAAGTAAGAAAACAGAGATTCTATATATTTCGGATCTACTCTCATGAACGCAGCATGAAACCTTCCAGAAAACCGACTTAACAACGATAAAAACAAGAAGAGTCAAGTTGTTCGAGATCATTTTGAAGAAAACTTCTTTGGCAGTGCAGGACGCATTCGAGATTGCTACCCCGCTAGTTGCAGAAAACGCGGTGGGTTAAGTGTAAGTGGGCAGACACCTTCGAGAATGACGAAGAAGACGAAGGATAAGACATAAAACAGAGATGCTGCATTATATGAAAAAGATGTACTTACCGTAGCTGAAGGTAATGTCCTTGATGCCCTAGGGCCCGTATTGAATAACTTTTGTTCAAGTTGTTGATGATGTAGTTGATCAAATCGCTGCTGTTCACCGAAATCTAACGGGTCAGCCATGCTGGTTGTCATTTTATTGACTAGTGTGTCATCTAGAAACACAGAATATAGATTGTCGTTAGGAAATGGAACCGCTCACGTGACGCTCTGCAACAACGAACGAAAATCGAGTAGGCACCGCCCTTTCCCGGGCACACAGCGCTTGGCTGCACACAAAATTTGCTGAAAAACCCACCTCTACCATTAATCTTTATAAATAAAAAATGTCAAAGAAAGTGAGAAGTTATAGGCTCGGGGAACAAAGGCGAAGACAACTCGGAGGAGACTGGGAAAAATGAAATCACTAAAATCAATAATATGCCACACACACTTGTATACATGACACCAAAAAACGTCGGTCGATGCGCGCCCGCGCATGACGCTCGCGACGCATTCCAAATGCCGTGAAGGCCGCACACGGACATGGATACGGTAGTTAGTGACACTAGCCACTGGCGATCAGCCATATCCAGCTTCAATTGCACGTGATTTTCATTTTCATTCGAACTCTGATGTCAGAGCGCATGGCGATTTGTCAACGAATCCAAAAAAAACTTCCAAAATTGACGTGATCGTGCATTGTCACACGTTTTTGTAATTCATACGTTATTTTGAAAAAGGAAAGCAAACAAAAACAAGCAACTCATTTTACACGAATTTTTGAGCAGTTGAATTAGCAGCGAGTCAATTTTTCTGAATATTCTTCTGACTATATGTTTTAGTAACGCCCATATCCCGCGTATTCCATTTTAATCCGCTTGGATTTTGAAAATTATCTCCTTCATATCAGGCTTTAGTTTTGTATTTTAGTCTGGTTACACTAGAAGAGACTTGATTTAGAGTGATAAGCCGGTTTTGTTTAGCGATGTAGTTTTACCACAATTATGAAGTGTTTTGTGAGATGTCCCGTGCGGGAAGGAAGTCGGGGACCCCGACGTCAAGGGATCAACGGTTATTCGCAAGTATCCAAAGCACATTAAATGGTGGTACAGTTTCAACAACTACTCCAAACTCACGTAAGGAAAGGACAAAGCAGAAGTTCAATGAACCGGTTGAGGTAGGCATTCAATGAATAATTGTTAGTAATGTTCTATTATAGCTGTTAGATGAATATTTTATTGTTGAAAATATGATTATGAAGAAGTCTTATCATAAAAATTGCTTTAGGAGCTGAATGATCTCGATGCTATCATCACGCAGATATCTGACCTTAAGATACGCTCGGATCGGTCGGCATTACAGATAAGTTAGTGTCTATCATATAAATCATTCTATAGTTTGACGAGTTTTTTGGGTATATCAAACTTTAATTTGTACGATCTTAAGCTTAAAGGTAGCCTATTTTTCGGGGGATCAACGTGACTCGAACTCGAGATCTGATCTCAACTCACAATGCTTTCAATTCTTTCGGCAGTTAGTGGTCTCATATATGTGAGCAGCAACGTTCTTCTTGTGGTCACCTCATTTAATTTTGATCTTGTTTGCTATTACTAAAATTCAAGGAAAATTTGCGTGACTTTGCCCAACATTAGGACGAGTAGAAATTTTCGGTCCCATTCCGATTTTAGAATGCGTTCAGGGTCAAAGTGGTGTTTGAGTGCATATTTATCCCGGTGATTCTATCTCATGGGTTAGTCTGGTTCTAGATACCGACACTGGATGGGCCGAAGGCATGACTGATCGGGCGGGGTCTGTCCCGGATTTGATCTAGACCTTAATGAGACACCGGCGCCTCTTGACACTATCCACTACCATTTGTGAAATAATCTATTATTCTCTTGAGGGATACAGTCAGTGATCCTTTTCTTTTTATAATAGTTCCAAGTATTCCCTTGAATTACAGGCCGCTTGCACTGAGTACTATTTGAGACCATCGGTACTGATACGTGATTTTTTAAGCTTCCTTCTAATTCCTATTCCATTACCGTTACAGAGAGGAATATATCAGCATGCAGCTTCTTGAGTCAGATGACCGAAGACGATTGGAATGAAATGTGCAAGAGCCTCGTAGGAACAGCATTGACAGATGGAGAAACGGACTTCGTGGTTGACCTTTTCATCCCGTTGATGGGTTGGTTTTTTTCTTTCCGATTGTAAATGAATCAATTGAACAAAGATTGTCCCCCTCGAAAGTTTGTAAGACGTTGTTTGTAAGAATTTGTAAGATCAAGTGAAATTATCATCTCATCATCATCATCATCA